TTTGCTCTTTTGGTCAGACTGTTGCACTTAAGTATCTGCTGTTTGAACTACTGAGGAATGCATCCCTCCAGTGTTAGTATCTACTATTTGGCTTAGCACAAAGATCAGCAAAGTCTCAGTTACGCTGAAAACATCAGGTGTGCAAGAATGTATGTCCAGCAACCATTAAAGCATCTACCTGGGAGTGTCCAAAGTTGCCCTAAAATATGTCTTCTTCTTGCTATCAGTATATAGATTGAAAAGTGAGGTAACAATTTGTGCTGTTTTACAGAGGATAGTCTTCTATTTAAAGGAATCCTCTTTTTGAAGGCTGCTCAAGTCTAAATCTAAAGTAATATACATGTAGCCATTAGAATGGACAGCAGGAATATTGAATTTGCCTGTCACTAGCAATAAATATCACAGGAAACTGAAGGGGTAACCAGGTCAGAGTCTGTGACTACAGTGAAATATTTTACATTTTTATTTAAATTATATTAATTATATGAAACTTTGCCTCTACAGCCCAAATCTCATCACCAGTCCCATTTAGAATGGACCCATTGGTTCAATTGTTGAATGGTACACTAGCACTTACGAAAATCCCACTGATTAAATGGGTCTGCTCTAGTCTTTCTGGCAATTAGATTTAACATTTTATCTGTAAATCACCAAATTTTATGCAAGCACGTCCCTTCTTTCCCCCTTTTTTCTGTGACACACACTTTAACAATACATAAGTGCAGGGGGGGGGGAGGAGGCGTGTCTACTCTTTCAAGCCAAAATGATTCTGGCTTGAAAGAGTGCTTAGTTGTGATATGTTCTTGTAAAGGCAGAGAGAGTGTCTGTAGCTGGTGTTTTGGTGATGTAAGCATTTGGGGCATAAAGTTCAGGATGGGGGGGGGGAGAGATACATTCCTGCATTCTTTTCTCTCCCCTGATCATCCTCCTTTTTTTAAATTAAAAAATTCTTACATATATAAGATTAGTGCTAGATCATAATAGCTGGTTATTATTGTATCCTGTATTTATGCCATATAAAAGGATCAGCAAAGGTGGGACCAGAGGATGAAAGAATTAGCTGAGGCAGGACCAGAGGAAGAAAAGAAAGAAGGGGGGCTTCAGGCTGGAATGCAAATTGCATCACATCCAGAATGAATGGTGAACTCCTCAATCAATCCACAGCCCATGTGTGAGCACTGATTGTGATTTCAAACATAATGCAGTTACAAATCAAATCCAGCATAGTGCAGCCTAACAGGAGCCAGCACAAGACAGCGTATAACTTGAAGAAAAGGTACTGTATATGTATCTGTACGTTTTAAGAATTAGTAAACTGTTTTAAACCTCACTAATGAAAAAAGGGACAGAAACAGCAAATAAATACATTCAGTGTTGTGATACAAGGAGAAACTGCAACCATATTCTCAGAGTATATCACCAGACGGTAAATACTGTAATCTCTGAGACAGAGAATTAAGGGGGTCAGATCTCTCCAGGATACTTGGAAGTAGTTTAAAACCACAATTATAGATGCTCAGACACAGATTACGAACCATAGAAGATGAAAAATACCAACAAATCCAAGGCAATGACAGATTGGCTGTAGGAACTGTAAGAGGCCAAAAAAGAGCTTATTTTAAAGCTTAGAAGTCTTGCATAAAAAAGGAGTATCTGAAGAAGCAGAAATGTTGTCAAACAATGTAAATTGGCAGTAGGGTGTGTGGGGGGAAAGAATTTGAACAATGTATTCCTAAAAGCATGAAGATAAACAAATTTAAATTGTAAAATGTCACAAACAGGAAACACCAGAGAGTTTTGGATTGCTAAAGGACAAAGGTATGAAAAGATTGCTAAGAAAGAATCCTTAGATTGCATAGAAGCCAGAGAAACTATTTCCATTGGCCTTTGCTGTAGAAGATGTTGGAACGAGATAATATATTGTTGGTGGAGGTGGAGTCAGGTAGAACAGTCCTGTAATGGAATTACACTGGGGAAAGAGGAGATATAAGCTGCAACTGTGGTAAACTAAGGTAGTGGTAGGGCCTATTGATTTATTTAGCTTGTATACTGCCCTATAGAGCATGGCACTCTCTGGGTGGTTTATAATAACTATGAATTAAATCAAATAAAACACAATATACTGTAAACATACAATTTATACCAATGACAATTAGTCCCCTGCAATGAACAACCCAACTTTAAATAAAAATAAATAGTTGAATGGCTTAATATTTCAGGTCAAAATTAATAAAAAGCTGCTTTAAAAATTACAGTTCTCACCTGCTTCTTAAAAAGCTGGAAGAAAGGACCCTGTCGAAACTCTACTGGAAGTTTAGTTCACCAAGAAAGCATGATTTAATGTGCTTATTCTTTTGACCTCCTTTGGTGTTCCCATTCTTATTTTATTTATTTATTGAATTTATATGCCGCCCATTTAGACATAGTCTACTCTGGGCGGCTCACAAACACGTAATAAAAAACAATCAATATAATCAACTGCTAATAGTGGGTGGGATGGGTAGCTGTTTTGTAGGAGAGGTGATCTGACAAGTAATGAGGTCCTAAACTGTTAAGTACTTTATAACCAACACCTTGAATTGTGCATGGAAACTGACAAAAGGTCAGTGAAGGTCTGCCAGAAATGGGGAAATATGGTTGAGTCTGCTGATGCAAGTAATCAGTCTAGTTGCTGCATTTTGGATCTGTTGCAGTTTCTGTACTGCTTTCAAGGGCAGCCCTATATTAAAAGCATTGCGGTAGCCTGTTTTGGAGATAACCAACGCATGAGCCACTGTTGTTAGGCATTTCTTATCCAGATGAGTTGCAGGTGGATCCAACGATCCTTCCAACAGTATGATCTCAGTCTTGTCTGGATTCAATTTCAATTGATAGATCCCAATCCAGTCAATTATCATAGCCAGAATGCTTTCAAGGAGTTTCATTGCATCACCTGTAGATGAGAGAAAACTGAGTTTAGGGGGAAATCTGTATGTGACAAAGAAAGGAGGGGATATGTATCTGTGTCTCTGTATGGGAGGGACATTAAGGGGAAGGAAAGTTACATGTGTGTTTGTGCATGTTTGTGTGCAAGAGACAGACATAGAAAAAGGGAAAGGTGATATTTCCTCAACCATTGCAGGCTATAGAGCAGCAACAAATCTGATAGCACAACAGCCATGGCATGGTGCAGCCTCTAATGGTCTCTGGCAGAACGATGTACAGTACTCTGATCCCTATTTTTATTCATTTATTTTATTTTACTGCACATGGCTTCTTAAACAGGACCCAAGGTGGCTTACACCACTGAAAAACAATATCTAAAGCTGAAAACAAGGCATATACAGTGGTGGTTTACATCAGTGATTCTTAACCTTTGTTACTCGGATGTTTTTGAACTGCAACTCCCAGAAACCCCAGCCAGCACAGTTGGTGGTGAAGGCTTCTGGGAGTTGCAGTCCAAAACTCCTGAGTAACCCAAGGTTAAGAACCAGTGGTTAACATCATTAAAATACAATATTAAAGCTAAAACAGTTAGTATACAAGTATACACCCCTAGATGTTGCCTCTCCTTGCTGTTAATTTCAGAATGGGATGGAAATGAAGAAGAAGATAATAATGACCAGAAAATGGTGTAAAAACAAGGGCCCTGGTAATTTTTAGTCAATCACACGTGGGTTATTTTGTGACTATAAATGCCTTTATACCAGTTTTATAAGTATTATTAAAAGTATGAGTTTTAAAATTAGGCTTATTGATAATTCACTGTATAATACTTCCTGTTGGAAAGAAATATTTGATTTTTTTTTGCAAGACTAGTAAATGTATTCATCATACCTTTGCTTGAATTGGTATAGTTTCAGGTAAATGGAATAAAAATCCCCCTCAGTGCTGAAATAACTTTTGTTGACAAATGTCACAATGTTAATAAGTATAATATAAATAAATAAATATAAAAGGCAGGTGAAATTATGCTATATGGTAGCCCCAGCCGAATGTAAATTCCTATTTTGTTGTTGTTTAGGGGCCCTGGTAATTTTTAGTCAATCACACGTGGGTTATTTTGTGACTATAAATGCCTTTATACCAGTTTTATAAGTATTATTAAAAGTATGAGTTTTAAAATTAGGCTTATTGATAATTCACTGTATAATACTTCCTGTTGGAAAGAAATATTTGATTTTTTTTTGCAAGACTAGTAAATGTATTCATCATACCTTTGCTTGAATTGGTATAGTTTCAGGTAAATGGAATAAAAATCCCCCTCAGTGCTGAAATAACTTGTATTGACAAATGTCATAATGTTAATAAGTATAATATAAAAAAAATACAAAAGGCAGGTGAAGTTATACTATATGGTAGCCCCAGCCAAATGTAAATTCCTATTTTGTTGTTGTTTAGTTGTTAAGTCGTGTCCGACTCTTCGTGACCCCATGGACCAGAGCATACCAGGCCCTCCTGTCTTCCACTGCCTCCCGGAGTTGTGTTAAATTTATCAGATTCGATGACGCTGTCCAACCATCTCGTCCTCTGTCGTCCCCTTCTCCTCTTGCCTTCACACTTTCCCAACATCAGGGTCTTTTCCAGGGAGTAAATTCCTATACCAAATGCTTAAGAGAATCTGAAACTCCCACTAGGGGGGTGGGGGAAAATAACTCAAGCAGGCTGACCTTTCAGCAAGCCCTGATGCGGGATAACAAAAGTGTGGGTTTCACTCATGTTTGCAGTTTGCTGTTTCACTCCTTTGGTACTTTCCCAAATACATCTATGTGCCGCCTAGAGTGGTCGTATAGACCAGATGGGCAGGATATAAATAAATAAATAAATAAATAAATAAATAAATAAATAAATAAATAAGATTATAAAGGGGAGAGAGCACTCAAAATACTTAATTTTGTTATGATGAGGTAGCTGTGATATCTTGCTTCAGAATCCTGGCAAAACTGAAAGGAGGAAAAAGCGGGAAAGCAAAGTGCCATCATATTTTGCCTTGGTAGGCATATTTGGTCCCCCTTCTCTTATTTTTCCCCATTTAGTGTTGCCAACATACAGTATTTTGTTATATGGCCCATATAACAAAATGTGTGACAGGGGCAGGAGGCACCCTTTCGAAATCTTTGCCGGATGAAGCGCCCAAGCCTTCCCGGCCAAAACCTTTCCCCTTGTCAAGCCTCCTTGTTTTGTTTCCTTCTGCCAACAGACGGCTGGTCCCCAGGTGAAGTTGTGCGGGCGGCATTTCTGCGGTTCTAAGAGCAAAAAAAAAGGGTAATTTTGGAAAGCGGCGGGAGTCGCAAGCCGGTGGTTTCCCCTCTGTGCGTGTGCGAGGGTCGTGTGTTTGATTCCCTCTCTTCTTCTGCCATGCTGCCTGCCACCGCCGCCGCCGCCGCCTCCCTTTCTAACCCCGGGAAGCGGCAGCTGTCCGCCTGCCCCATTGCTGACATTCCCCCTGCCAAGCATTCCAGATCTCTGAGGTAATGGGCCTGCAAACAGGGAGGGCTGCGCTTTCGTGATCGCACCGTATCCTTCCGCATGGCTGGAGCAAAGGGGAACGCCTCCAAAGGGGGAAAGAAAGAAGGGAAGAGAGTGAGAGAGAAAGAGAAAGAGAGAGAGAGAGAGAGAGAGAGAGGCAAGCAGCCTGCGCGTTGTGGTGTCGCACAGGACTGGCCGCTGGCAAATAACGACGGGGCGGGGAGAAAGCCTCTCTCTCTCGTCTTGTGCTCCAGCCGTGCCGGGGCTTCCTCTGTCACAGGAAAGCGGCTGGCTGGCTGGCTGAGGGAAACCTCCTTTTGCTGTAATATTTCCCCTCCTCCTGCTCCTGCGGCTTCTCTTCTGACTCTTTGCCCAGTGGAATGATATCCACCACACTCCGTTTTTCGTGTTGTTGTTGTTGTTGTCGAGCCAGGAAGTGAGGAATGTTTGCGCGCTGACTGGACCGACCGACCGACCGACCGACCGGGAGAGGAGAGGAAAGGAGAGCCGAACCGAAGGCGGCGGCTTTCTTCAAGGGTGGGAGAAGGAGCCTCTGTTTCCCCCTCCCTCCGTCTCCGACCGCTTTCCCAACCATTCCGGGCCCCCCAAAATCGACACCCACGACATGGCTCGCTCGGGAGAGCTCTCGAAGCTGCGCTGGGCTTTTTGCAGCTAGAGGAGACCTGATTCCCTTGGATTACGGTCCCAGGTAAAAAGCAAAGAAAATAAATATAAATCGCGGCGTCCGGTTGTGTCTGTGTAGGTGGTGGTCCTGGGAGGGCGTGTTGGGGAAGCCATCGGACCGGTCGCCCCTGACTTTGTTATTTGTTGTAACGTGAGTCGGTTTTCAGAGCCCGATTTGCAAATTGTTCAGGGTTTATTTATTTATTTTTCTAGCAGCGTAAATTATTCAAACTACCGAAGATTGCAGTCCGGAATCTACAGCCTGACATTATTTTTCAAGAGTCAAACGTGGTTAGGATCGGGTTGCAAACGGGATTGCGGGCGTCCTTTGTGATGATGGATAGAGGAAGATCGCCAGGCTCCTGTCTCGCCCTCCCTCGCGCCCAACACTACTGTGCCCTTGTTAAATTCTGCTTGCCACGGTCATATAGCACTGTTTAAGATGCAGAGAATAAAGTTTGTATTCTCTCTCTCTCTCTGTGTAGGATGTTAGGCATGTGTCGCTTGAATGATCAATATATTAAATATTTTGATAGCTAAGTGGTTTAGGTCTCTGGCTACACAGCTGGAAGTTGGGAATTCGATTTTCCACTACCTTGCCTGCGAAGGAGATCCAGCCTGTGTGGCCTTGGGCAATCTGCACAGTCCTATAGGGTGCCCCCAGAAGAAGGGAATGAGAAGCCCCTTCTGAGTATTCTGTACCTGGAAAAACCTGAAAAAGGTTACCATAAGTGAGAATCGACTTGGCAGCACATGATTATTATACTGTGAGAAAAAATTACAGGATACTTTATTTATTTATTTATTTATTTATTTATTTATTTATTTATTTATTTATTTATTTATTTATTTATTTATTTATTTTATATCCCACCTATCTAGTCCCTCAGGACCACTCTAGGCGGCTTACAACAGATATATAACAATGTAATTAAAACAATTTTAAATGAGGGATGCATGTCAGTTGAATTTTTGCTCTTGGTGTTTGTGTTAAAACCTTCAGGAAGAGGCGTGTTAACTTTCCACATTCCAGGTGTTACAGTCAAAGATCTTTTGTGGGCCATTTTTTTAAAGTTGTGCATTAAAACCTGCAGTCACAGAACATCTTTAATCTTCAGCGTTGCCACCCCACTTCTTAAGAAAAGGAGAGTGTGCATTATTTCCTCTCTGCTTTTTCAGGGGGCTTGACTGATAACAGGAGACACAATATTAATGTGTGCCCTTTTTAAAAAATATATATGTCAGTAATATATAATTATGGAGCCAAAGTTGCCAAAAGGAGATGCACCTGTTTCCTTTGCACAGCAAGTTCTGTTTCTTTGGTCAATGTGTGGTGTCCCTGAAGAATGTGAGAAGTAAATTAACAGAAGATAAATCAGGCGAGTTAAGTGTTTGGTGGATACACTTTGTTTGTTAATTAAAAAGAAGGGGGTTATATCTGAATATAGCATCTCAAGAATTCTGGTTGAGCTAAATAGAGAATTATGATTTCAACAGAGGATTGGTTGGATTTGCTGGTGTTGGCATTTCAGCACTATCCTCTTACTGCCTGCAAACTCCCCTAATCATATAGATAGATATTATTTTGAAATAGGCGTGTGTGGCAGAGTGGGGAGAGGGGAGTTTGACAGAAAATAACAGCTGCTAAACAAAACTGGTAGTGCTGTGTTTGCAGGAATTGTGCTTGGCCAGCATGAAAACTTGTTGAATAGGGCTGAAGCATTATCTCTGCCCCTCCCCAAGACTTTCTAATTGGTTTACTACAAATGTATTTAATTGTGATATAATATGCATGCTTAATGCTATTTTTTTTAAAGTGCAAATGATTTGGGAATTATGGATGGGAAATGTATGAAATTTTCACTGGCAAAAATGATCAAATGTGGAAATGGCAGGAAAGATTATAATTTGTATACATGAGTACACATATGTTCATATGTGTAAACCCACAATTAAACAAATATTCGATAATACTGTGAGGAATCATGCAATCTAGCAAACAGTAAATCTGATTGTAAGCAGAGTCCAGGCAGAGTTGAACACAAAGTCATGTTGACTTCACTAGAAATTATTGCAGTCTGGTCTCACCAGTCTTTGTTGAGATTCAAGTCCCACTAAATTAAGTGGGACTTAACTTGCAGCTCAAGCATGTATTTGATTATAGATTTGAACACATCTTAAATACTATAGTTGAAATTGGTAGAACTCAAAGTTCATTATCTGGTTGGTTGGTTTGTACTGTATAATCTATAAAAATGGAGAATTCCCAGTATTTGCTGAGGAGTGTTATGTCAAATAAATAAATAAAAAAATTTTAAAAGACAGAAGCAAAAGTGTGGCGAAAATCAGAAACATCAGGTGTGTTTTGAAGGTAACATTCCTGCACACATTTCATAACTATGTGCTCTGAAGTCAGTTCTGACTTACGGTGATGCTTTCCAGAGTTTTCCAGGTAGAGAATACTCGGAAGTGGTTTTCCATTCTCTTGTTCCGGGGAACACACATAGTAAACTGCCTGAGCCTTGAGGTTGACAGCTGAAGCTTTGTTCTTGGCGGTGTTATTAAATGACATATAATTGGTATAGGATAGAGACAGGGTCTGCTCAATAGTGATTATGGAGTATATTACTCCCCAAGAAGTGTGGCCAAGCCCCTTCCAGTTTTTTAAGAAGACTATCTTGTTTTAGGCAACCACCATGAATTTGACACAACTCCAGGAGACAGTGGAGGATAGGAGGGCCTGGCGTGCTCTGGTCCATGGGGTCACGAAGAGTCAGACACAACGACTAAACAATGACAATCTTGTTTTAGAAAGTTCTGTCTTGGTTTTTTTGGATTCTTAAATTTCATTTTATTCCCTTTTTTTCTTCTATTGAATGTTTATAGGTTTAAAACTTTTTTATACTGTACTAGTTAAATATTGTAAGTTGTTTTGTGAAAGTTGCTTGCTTTGAAAAGTTTAAGCGATCCAAAAAATACAATACTTTGAAGACTGTTTCTGAAATCTAGTAGTAAAATTGCAACTAGAATAGGCCTGCTGAATCAGTGGAACTTATGGGGGTGCTGTGGGACTGTGCAGCTTGTCCAAGGCTACACAGGCTGGGTCATCTCCTGGGAGGCACAGTGGGGAATTAAGTGGCCAACCTAGATAACAAAATAACTGAGCTATCCAGCCAGCACTATAATTATTAGTATATACTCGCCATTATACACAGTGAGGGACAAAACCCAAAACAAAACCTGAGTGCACACATATAGGATTATGATGGACCATTATACACAGTGAGGGACAACCCCCCCCCAAAAAAAAACCCTGAGTGCACACATATAGGATTATGATGGATAGGAATTGATTTTCTGAAAGAGATGGCAGTGGCTTAAAAGATGAACATTTTAAAAGTGTTTTGTTTGTGATGTTTTGAGCGGATCAAAGTTTGATAATTTGTATGTCTTACTTTGTTGCTGCTAGGCGGTTTTAAAATTGCAGGGATGGGAAAGTTGTGGCCCTCCAAATGTTCAACTTTAGTGAACATGACCCTTAGTCTGGGTTGTTCATGGTGAAGGAAGCTGCAGGCTGCAGACAAGCAAGATTTGGAGGCGAGTGCGTTCACCACAACTGCTTTTAAAAGCTAGAAGACCCATCTCCAGACAGACAAGGATTTTAGCAGAGATGTGTGGAGAAAAGGGAGTTTTATAAACAACTGTTTGCTGTTACTGTATTTCAGCTGGAAACAACTGGAAACAATTCCGAGTGCCTGGAATATCCAGTGTAGCATTTACAAGGGTGAAGAGATGAAGGAAAGGGATGTGTAGTTTATTACCAGGCTCTTTGCCTGGAAGAAACAAATATTGCTGTAGGCAGAGTATGATACGAAGGAATCAGAAAGGTGAAGACTGGATCATTGAAACAGATGCAAAGCAGGTTGTGTGCTGCCAAGGCAATTCTGACTAATGGTGATCCTATAAATTATTATCTTTTAACATTCATTTTAAATTTAAAAAGAACAAAGGAAAAAAATGAAAGAATGTAAGTGGAGAAAATATCTCAAAATCAAGAACTACAAACAAATTGTCCAAAGTTTTAAAAAATATGGGGAGGAGGAACAGAAGAACAATAATAACTTCATTTTTTAAAAAAAGAAGAGCCGAAGTTCTGAAAAAAGAATTTAGGTATAAGTGTCTGTGAAAGATGACCAAATATCCAGCTAAGTATTCATTTAATTTCACCATAGGTTAAACTTCCATGAGATTGGTAGATAGTTTAATAAATAGGTACATCTACAAAATGCTGTGATGGAATCAGTTCAAATTAAGCCTGAACCCTGTTGTATGTTGGGCACATCATGAGAAGACAAGGAGAAAAGAGAAAGACAATGTTGAAGTGAATTGACTCCAAAAAGGAATCCATAGGATTGGTTTGTAGATAGCTGAACAAGGCTGTTAATAATAGGACATTTTATTTATTTTATTTATTTATTTCATAAGGTCACCATAAATAGGAGGTGACTTAACAGCATATAACAACAACAGCACAAAATATGAAAACTGTTGTGGTACAAAATGAATCCATGTAATAAAGTCCTCCGAGAAAGAGGTTACGACTAGACATAGTGGGAGCATGTGTGCTGCTCAGGTATTGCAAACAAAAGGCCAAAACTAATCACCCATTGCCTGAAAAGGACAAAAGCCTATCTCACAGCCATAAATACTCCGCTCCCAAGCAAACTACACCAGAGCACAGAGCGCTGTCCTCTGAAGATGCTGGCCATAGAGACTGGCGAAACGTTAGGAAGAACAACCTTCAGAACACAGCCAAAGAGCCCAAAAAACCCCACAACAACCATTAGATCCTGGCCGTGAAAGCCTTCGTGAATACAAAAGGCCATGTGTTCCTTCACAGAGTAAATTCATCTTCTGTTTGGTTTTAATCTTTTCCTACTGCCTTCAGTTTTTCCTAGCATCATTGTCTTTCTAGTGACTCTTGTCCTCTCATGGTATAACTCATTGGATGATGGCTTCAGTTTATTCATGGTAGCATCTAGTGAAGGTTTGGGCTTAATTTGAACTAGCATCCATTTAACAAATAGTACATAGAGACTCTTAAAGAAGGGGTACTATGTTCAGAGGGACACAAATTGAGACAGAAGTCAGAAAATTTACTTTTTTGACCTGCCAAGCTATGCTGGCAGAGTGATTCAGGATACTGTAGTCCAAAAAAAGTAAGTTTTTAAACCTCTAAGTGAAAAATATTGATTTGAGTCATGAATTTCCTACCAAAAGAATGTCTCTTATTATAAAATCATGGGCACCTAGTGATGATACTGGTGATACTGGTGACAGCTGCTCAGAGATTCCATGGAATCATGTAGCATCTTTCATATGAATACAGTGGTGCCTCGCTTAACGATGTCAGTTCGTTCCAGTGAAATCACTGTAGAGCGAAAACATCGTAAAGCGAAATTAAAAAGCCCATAGAAACTCATTAAAACCCGTTTAATGCATTCTGCTGGGCTGGAAACTCACCGTCCAGCGAAGATCCTCCATAGGGCGGCCATTTTTGGTGCCTGTGCAGCAAGGAATCCATCCCAGAAAACAGCGGGGAGCCATTTTGTTTACCCGGTGGCCATTTTGAAACCACTGATCAGCTCTCTGAAAATCATCGTTTTGCGAAGAATCGGTTCCCGAAGCAGGGAACCAATCATCGCAAAGCGAAATTCCCCCATAGGAAACATCGTAAAGCGATCACAAAAGCGATCACAAAAAGTTTGTCGTAATGCGGTTTGTCATTAAACGGGGCGATCGTAAAGTGAGGCACCACTATATATTCATTGTACCATGAGCTTCTGTGGACTGTAGCCTTCTTTATCAGATACATGAAGTGTTACACAGCATTTCAGATTTATACAAAATGCATGAAGTGTTATCAAAATCTTGAGTATATATATATATATACTGTAGATTTGGCTTAAATTCTGACTGACCCTTTAAACAACTAATGCAATGGTCCACAATTAATGAAAATGCATGCTACAATAATTTTCTTACTCTCAAAGTGCTCTGTGAAGGTTTTGCTACAACAGACTTACTTAGCTATCCCTTTAGAAGTAAACCTTTCTGGTGCTCCATCAGAAGAGGAAAAAGAGATGAGTTGTGGGGCATGCTATGATGAGGTTTTAGATCTTCTGAAAGGCTTTCTGAAAACCACACAAGGAAAGTTGATACTTTCTAATATAGCTTTACTGTGTCTATGTAAGGCGGAATTCAAAAGTTCAAAATATCTTTTGAAACCACCCATTGTATGTATGTATGAAATCTACATGAGAGATGGGGGGTTAGATAAAATTTTCAGCAATTTATTTGATGGCAGCTACTGGTTATCTTGCCTCCAATACACTAATTTTACTGCTGTTTTTGTTTAAGATATTTTAAAATGTTGTTTATTAGCTTTATTATCAGTGCTATGGTACTTTTTGACTATTAGGTGACTCTTAAATTAAATAATTTTAACGGGATGAGACATGGTGCTGCTGCGGGTTAAACAGCAGAAGCCTCTGTGCTGCAAGGTCAGAAGACCAGGAGTCGTAAGATCGAATCTGCGCAATGGATTGAGCTCCCATCTCTTGTCCCAGTTCCTGCCAACCTAGCAGTTTGAAAGCATGTAAATGCGAGTAGATAAATAGGTACAGTACCTCGCTGGCTCTATGGCTTGGAAATGGGGATGAGCACCGCGCCCTAGAGTTGGACTCGACTGGACTAAATGTCAAGGAGAACCTTTACCTAAACTAAACTAAACTAAACTAAACAAAACAAAACAAAACAAAACAAAACAAAACAAAACAAAACAAACAAACAAACAAACAAACAAACAAACAAACAAATACTTCATAAGGTGTTCAAGTTTTCCATGTTTTTTTAACCGTTCTGTGCTGTTGACAGTATTGCAATTTTGCAAGTTCCTGGAATGTTTTGGAAGTGATGACATTTCACCTGATACTGAATTCTGTTACTCTCATGGCTTTCTGTGAAAGGGCAAGTAGCAGGAAACAGTCTGTGGATTTCTCCATACCTTCCTGCCAGTTACACTTCCTGGAATGCTTTGGCAGGAAGCTTCATTATACAACACTTTGGCCCCCTGTGAACCATGTGAGCTTACTGTTTTTTTAAAATACAAACATTCAGAATCCTTTGCCTACCTCGTAAGGTTAAATAAGCAAGTGGCAACCTTCCTTTAAAAAAAAATCATTACTCCTTGACATCATTAGAAAATCAGCCCACATTTCTTGCAGCAGAGAATATATTTGGGAAACCTCAGTGGGGACTTTTGGACTAGTCTTACATTTGTGTTGCAAGACTCTTATGAAACATGCTTTTGGGGCAGCTGTTTTGCCTTGTTGAGTACCAAAAAAAAAAAGTCCAGTTAAAAGATATATTTCTTAAAAAAATATTTCCTGCCATCCTGGGATTGGTGCCAACACAGGATACAGAGACACCCGTAGCATTTCTGTGTTATGATTTATTATGATACATAGCACTCCTACTATTTAACCTCTGCTTAACTTCTACTATGCATTTGAAGGCTAAAAGGAAGTGGAAAGTTATGTGATCCCTACCCAGTACGTAAGATAAGGTGGTATACAGTACATTAAACTCTTGATGTTCCAATTCCACCCCAACCCACACATTAATGTCTGTAATTTCCATATAGGTCTGGTTTCCAGAATACTTCTTGGATGTTTTAATTACCCAACATTTTTTTGGTCTTTACGGCATGTAATCACTGGCACCGTTATTGCTTAATATTAAATAATAAACCTTAAGTGATGTGGTGTGGTTAAGAACATGAGCTGACATTATGAAGGGGACTTTAGTAAGCCACTCTCCTCTAATCCTCAACCCCTGTTAAAACCGCAGATCAGGAAGGGACCCTAGGGATCATCAAGTCTAGTCCCTGTCAAGAGACACAGTGGAGAACTGAACTCCTAATCCCTGTTTTTGCAGCGAAATACCTAAACCACTGAGCTATCTGGCACTTCTTCCCATCAATAATATGATGCTAACGTACCAGACAATCCAGTATTTAAGTATTCAGGCGATGGTGTGTTTGAATCTGTCATGGAATTTGTTTGTTTGTTTGTTTGTTTGTTTGTTTGTTTGTTTGTTTGTTTCTTTCTTTCTTTCTTTCTTTCTTTCTTTCTTTCTTTCTTTCTTTCTTTCGTTTTACCCCACTTTTCTCCTTAAAAAAGGACTCAAGGCGGGTTACAACATTAAAAGACAGAAGATACAATACATGAATGTTTCATGGACAGGAAAAAAGTTATATTTTTACAAGCAAAATTTGGCAAATGTAACCTGACAGTGTGAGTTATCAAAAACTCACCATGTTTTCTATTCAAGGTTTAACTAATGGCTTTCCTACCACTTCTTATTTCACAGAATTTTTGTGGATGCTTCCCTTGCACCAAAGTTGGAAGAAAACCAGCTCGTCTTTAATGGCTGCTGCCGCTGCTGGTGGTTGATCATCTGGAGACTCTACAGCTCTTGACTGTTCACGGGAAGTGAGATATTCCCGGATGTTTTTCAGTGACTTCTTGTGAATGTTTTAAGAGAGAAAATGCCTCTCCCTTTTGGGCTGAAGCTGAAACGAACTCGACGCTACACAGTGTCTAGCAAGAGCTGCTTGGTGGCCCGTATCCAGCTGCTTAACAATGAGTTTGTGGAGTTCACACTGTCAGTGGAGAGCACCGGGCAGGAAAGTCTGGAGGCTGTGGCGCAGAGGCTTGAACTTCGAGAGGTAGGAAAGGTGGCAGATAACTGTGGGAGCCTCTACCCTGGGACACTCACAATTTTGGTAGGCAATTTCTTCAGAGAGGGATGGGTCACTTATTTGTACCTATTGTTCTCTGAATGGTCATCTGTGAATTCACACAACAGGTCTTCCACAGAGTGTCTAGTTGGTAAATCAGCCAAATGGTCTCCATCATTAACTTTCATCAAGCTGTGCATGTGTTATGTCTGGGCTAAAAGTTAATGATTGAGACCGTGTGGCTACTTTTCAGGTGTCTTGCAACTGGACACCTTTGAGGAACGTCACAAAGGCCATGAAGAAGAAAGTACTTTGTGCCCCATACAACCCTTTGTCTTTCAAGGCCAGTATGTTGTAATCTCATTGAAAGCTGCTTTTCCAGAGAGTATTTGACAGAAGTCTGCACCATTATCTGCTTCTTTTAACTGAAAGTGCGAGGGATTTAATTTGGGATTTAGGTTGACAATCTGAATTGGTGATTGAATGAAAATGGTGGCTGGGGAAATGGAATGGAAAGTAGGATGGGTAGCTAGAACTCCTCCACAATGCAGGATTGTGTTATAGGTCTCACTTGTATAATTTAAAGGGAAGTAGGAGTGGAATCTTGCACGCAGTTGCCTTGGAATAAATGTTACTGAACACAACAGTGTGTATCTCTCAGTATACATGTATGGGATTGTTCCACTAATGCCTTACAGATATTAAAATTGGATAGCCCCACCTGGCAAGCTTACAGAAAACGAGCCAGGAGAGGGAATACCAAGAGGACATACATAGCTCTCAGCTGAGGTGGACACAGTGTTCTCAACTTCAGCAGTTGCATTTCTCCTCTTTAATGACTTGATAAAATGTTGTGCCGAAGGACAGCACAGCGTTTTTGGAGAGGCTTACATTGATAAAATGGAATAATTAAAAAAAATAAACATCACTATACAATTTAAGCAGTGAGGGTAAAAATAACAACCTCATTGGGGTATTAAACCCTGAGAAGAATGAAAATTCTTTGCCCGGCACCAGCCTCCACCTACCAGATAGGTGCCCAACGAGCCTTATTGTAACAGTTGCATAGATGGGATACCACAGCTAAGAACGCTTTGTTCCACATTACCATTCTTCTCACTTCTTGGCAGCTTGATTATAATCCTTGTGGGCGTGAAGATACACCCGTCAGTGGGTATAAAAGCATGCTCACTGACAGGTGAAGCCTGTCTGGTGTATTGTCTAGAGCAGTGGTTCCCAATCTTGGGTCACCCAGCTGTTCTTGGATTGCGATTCCCAGAAGCCTTCATCAACAGCTGTGCTGGCCAAGGCTTCTGGTTTAGAGTGTTGGACTAGAATTAGACAGACCTGAGTTCAAATCCTTTCATAGCAACAAAGCTCCCTGTATGAATAGCTCCATTGCCAGGTCTCAGTGTAACCTAGCTGTTGTGAAAATAAAACAGGGGAAGACATGGATATCATGGAGGAAGAATGGAATAAAATTAAATTATAGTTGAGTTGAGACCTACAAGAAGATGTTAGTGTGAGTATACTGATTTGCCAACAGCCATGCCTCCCCACTCCCCACTTAGTAATTTGTACTTGCCATCTGTGGCTGATGAGCATGTCCAGTCCTCATTTAGCTACCCCTTACTCCATTCCCAGTAAAAGAATTTTCTGCTTCCACAAAGTTTGAGGTACTTCTGAGTGTGCTAGTATATATTTTACAATAAATATAGAAACTCCAGTGGAGCTGAGAAGGGCTTGCATTGTTCAGGTCCAAAATGTTAGCACCCCAGATTGCTATATGGCTTGTTGGCTGGCTAGTGGAAGCAAATCATGCTGACTGCCTTTCCACATAAAGCACCATGTTTCGTTTGGATCATGACATTGCAGAATTCAGTTTTTCAAAGGATGGAATGGGAGTTATCTTCATGCAGTGTGACTATTTTGTTCCGAGCTGTCTGCATGGATCAGGGTGATTCTGTAGGCAAAACAGACATTTCAAAATGGGATATTTTTCATGTTTTTCCGACACAGCTTTTTTCCATGTAGTAGGAATGTGGTTCCAACTATGCATTGAAATAAGAGCATAGTCTGAATCAGTTATGAATGTTTGGTTGTTGATGTTACTTTTGCCTGCCTACAAGTGAACCTTCTTATCTGCTTTTTGAGCTTGCAGTGGCATTGCTCCTTCCTTAGCTTTTCTCACTAAGAGTTTTTTCCCCCTCCTCCTTTTACCCTCAAAACAACCTGGTTAAGTAGCTTAGTCTGGGAAATGGGTACTGGCCAGGGTTAACCAATGAACTCAGGCAGGTTTGAGCTTGAGAACCACTGTACCACAAATGTTTCTTGTCTGCATTATGCTCTTTTTTGTCTAGGATACAATCATCATTAGCAGGGAGAGAGGCAACTCATGAGCTGAGCAGAAGAGAGGTCACTCCCTGAATTTGGGGGGGGGGCACTCCCCTTGCCCTGTCACAAGATGCCTCTGCTGTCAGGAATGAAAGCTTTAGTGCAGGCCCCTAGCTGCTGTTGGATATCTTACTGAACCAAAGATATCCACATCTACCCATTGAGGGTCTTCTTTAGAAATATTTGGGCAAAAATCAGCTGTTATCTGATTAGAGTGGACCTACTGAGCCAACGATACTTACATAAGTGTTGAGTTAGTAAACACCATTCACTCAAAGGGTCTTCTCTAGTTAGGACAATTCCGATCTAGCCCTTTACTTGTCGTTTTCTGTTGAGGCCCTCTTCTGAGAATATCATTCATGTTCAGAACTGTTGCCAGTATACATTGTTTCTCTTATGGGGCCTCCTCTGGCACCAGATTGTCGGCATTTACCTCATGGAAGACATCTCATTCTCTTGATCTTCATATCTTTTATTCTCATTTTAATGTTGGTTCTGAATTTTTTTTTTAAATTACATGTACTCTTTCAAGTGAGATTAGTAAATCAGATTTAGGAAGTGCAGACCAGACTGCTGAAATAGAACAGACTTCCCTCCCCCTCAGAATGCATTCTTGTGTGGATTATTTTGGCATAAAAATAATTTTGTAGCAATGGGAAACAAAGACACAGTTGGAAATGGAGGTAGGGCAGAAAATAGCATTCTTGGGTTATACACAGTAAATAAAATATCTATGGCAAACCAATGTTTGCTTTCCAACAGTGTTAATTTTAAAATGTTTTCTCAAGTTGATATGTCAAATTAAAGTGCTGTGTAGTTTTTTTTTTAAAGTATTTGCTCATGTTCCAAGCCTCGCCTGTCAATTTTTTATTTGTGAAAACTACTTTTTTATACCAGTTTTTCTCTGGGAAGCTTAGGGTGTTGTAGCCTAACAACAGACAGGTGAGTTAGGTTCAGTTGAGGGGAAATGGCTAAAAGGAAAGTTAGCTTCATGACTTAAAAACAACTTTTCTTGGGCTTAGTCTACCACTCTTACCACTATGTCACTCTATTATTATAGCGGTGAGCCTTTAAAGCAAAGAGCCTCTACCCCTGCCATTTGGCTGTTCCCTCCCATGTTGCCCATGTGGGTCCTTGTGATGTCAGAGAGGTAGGTGTGAATATGTTCGTCTTCAGCAGGAGGTGAACCCTGAGTTTGCGCGGGAAGGAGAGTCGGAGGCAGCTCTGAACGTTTAATATGAGTTTTTATTGTCTAACAAATTCAATTCAATAGTTTCAAAGGGGTCCAATAAACTCAATTCTGGTAAAATCCTATAACTGTGTACTTTTACATCTGGTGTCCTCAAATCACTTCTCACAGAGGGGCCTGTCCAAACTGTTCCCAATCAGTCATAGGTTTCAGGAGGGTGCTCCTTACGGCACAAACTGTCCCACAGCATGGGTGTCTCGCCCAGTCCCCCTCATGTTGTGGACGGAGTAAAGAGGGACTGGGATGGATCACCCTCCGTCCCCCATACTGATTGCGAGGGTACACCACCACAGTCCATTCCAGTGGTTCTAGATCACCCTCCTTTGTATATAAACCCTTTGGGTCTGGCAACAAATCTCCTCCAATCTGTAGACTTGGAAAGTCTTTCATCAGACCTGTAGCGCCTTCTTGCCTGAAAACTTGCTCTGTTTGCACTCCTCGGTTCTTTCTCTCTGGCTGTCCTCCGTCCATTAGAATTCTGAAACCACCACAGTCCATTCCAGTGGTTCTAGATCACCCTCCTTTGTATATAAACCCTTTGGGTCTGGCAACAAATCTCCTCCAATCTGTAGACTTGGAAAGTCTTTCATCAGACCTGTAGCGCCTTCTTGCCTGAAAACTTGCTCTGTTTGCACTCCTCGGTTCTTTCTCTCTGGCTGTCCTCCGTCCATTAGAATTCTGAAACTTCGCGCGTCCCCTTGGGTCTGGCAACAAATCTCCTCCAATGTGTAGATTTGGAAAGTCATCAGACCCGTAGCGCCTTCTTGCCTGAAAACTTGCTGTGTTTGCACTCCTCGATTCTTTCTCTCTAGCTGTCCTCCGTCCATTAGAATTCTGAAACTTCGCGCGTTCTCTTCCTCCTTTATAAACTCCTCCCAGATAATCAAGTCCAGCCCCTCCTCCCCCTCGTCAGTGAGACACACCTCTAGTGACTCTTTACATTCCAGCTCCTCCTGTCCTATCTCCACCAGTATTCCCTCCACGCAGCCGCGGCTTTCCTCAGAGGTCTGATCAGTAGAGGACGGCACACTGGCCTTCTCTCCTTCACAGTAGGGCAGGCAAGCTTGGGAGGAATGCTAGAAGTGCTTTTGGGGTCAGCTGATTCTGGAAAGAGATGGGAGAGGAATGTAGGTAAATAGTCCCAGAATCCAGGTAAAACCCAGCTAATCAGGTAACATGGCAACTCAGACATGGTGGGTGATGGTTATTTTTGACTGGCCAGATGGCAAAATGTACCCAGCTGGTTCCTAACTTTTAGATGTGCCAGTGTTGTGCAACTGCAAAACACATAAGAACACCTTTGGAAAGAGCCAGTAGACCGCGGCACTACTTGGGACTGAATGGA